TACATCAACAAATTAATAATCTACTAATTAAAGTGAACCCAAGACTTTTTTTTTTTCCAAGTCGAAAGAATCTCGAGGCATCGTTTTTGAAGCTAACAATTTAATAAATGGCATATGCTCAAGTCTGATACAAAGTTAACTTCAAATAGGTATCCTCTTCATTATTTAAAACGACCAAAAGTAAACTCTAGTTTTGAATGAAAACAGTACTATTAAGTTCGATTCTTACCTGGATTATATTAAAAATAATTGAAAACGACACAGCCATTTGCAAAGAAGATAAGGTGTAATAATTCAACAAAATTGTAAAGAACTCATTTCAAGCAGCCAATATTTAGTTTTATTATCATAAAATCTGCTTCTGAGGTACCTGAAAAGAACTCCTTACTGGAAAAAGAAGAATGTGGCTAATTAAGGTCTTCAATGTCCTCCTCTGCTCATGGATTCTGCTGGCTTCAGCAGAAAGATCTAATTACATTGTCCACATGGACAAATCTTTCATGCCTAAGGCTTTTTCCAGTCACCATTATTGGTACTCTTCAACTCTTCAATCCATCAAATCTGTTGGACTCTCTTCATTAGATGACCATAAGCCTTCACCAAAGCTTGTCTATGCATATGACCATGCCTTTCATGGATTCAGTGCAGCAATGTCCAAAGATGAATTGGATGCTTTGAAGAAGTCACCAGGGTTCCTTTCAGCATATCCAGATGGTATTGTCATGCCCGACACCACCCATACTTACAAGTTTCTTTCTCTGAATACTGCCACGGGCATATGGCCAGCATCTGAGTATGGTAAAGATGTGATTATTGGGGTTGTTGACTCCGGCATATGGCCAGAAAGTCCAAGCTTTAAAGATGATGGAATGACAGAAATTCCAGCAAGGTGGATGGGAATTTGCCAGGCAGGTGAAGAGTTCAATTCTTCATTGTGTAACAAGAAACTCATTGGAGCAAGATACTTCAATCAGGGAGTTCGGGAAGCAAATCCCGGAGTTACAATAACGATGAATTCTGCAAGGGATGATTCGGGTCATGGCACCCACGTGGCATCCACCGCCGCTGGAAACTATGTGGATGGTGTTTCATTCTTCGGATACGCTCCAGGAACAGCAAGAGGAGTGGCTCC